TGCAATTTTATGTGAGTGTCTATATTTGTGGAAAAGGGTGTTTGTCTTACCAGTGGGTCCAACCTTACACACACCAAATCCATATGTGCTCATATGAGAGAGTATGCAGGATGCCCTCTGCAGCGCTTATAGTGACACTTGTTGAGGAGCTGCCTTCTGTCGCCATCGTGTAGCATTGCTGTCTTCAGACATCTCTTGATCTCTTTGACTACTTCACGAAACATTGTAATACGCCTTGCCGGTGGCGGATTTAAAGGTGAGGAAAAGGGCTGACCTGATTGGCAAAAACAGGTCTCGGCTGTGTTAAACCCACTCCACGCCCTCTCTACGACTTACGCCGCTGGGAGGAGCTGATTTAAGGGAGGGGGGATACTTACGCTGTGTGCTTGGGCACGCTTGTCGGTGCGGCGGACCTGACTTACGCTGCGCCTCTGCCACGCCACCGACGAGGAATGAAAATAGAGCCTTAAGTCAGAATCTCAATGTCATCATTGAGGACCAGCTAACCTTTAAGGTTCATGTCACCTTGATTGCTTGGTCATGCCGATGTGCCCTCTTTAACATCTAGAGGATCAGGCCCTACCTGACAGATCACACAGCAAGTTTTGATTTTTTAGTTTTTCTTTGTTTTTGTCACCTTGCACAGCAACTATGTTTGACATCTGATTCAAATTGTTGGGTTGAGATACTCCACCCTGTGGAGTCAAGTGACCTTTATTTTGATAGCAAACATCAGCGTAATTTGCAGTTGCCGTGTCTGGACTTGTCATGTTTGCAAGCAACGTTATTGACTTGAACTCGAGTTTACAGCAGAAGAATGATAATTCACTATATGCCAACACGTCAAGTTCGATTACCTGCAGCAGGAGTTTCCATCTGCAGAGTGCACAAGACTGAAACACTTAATGACAGAGGAACACATGTCAACACAGCAGGTGATACAACACAGCCGCAAACAGGGCAACACAATATCAATCATGTTGGTACTATCTGCAGAACAACACCTTACTGACTGGTTACTACAGTTAGACAAGCTCATACAAGCTTTCTGTCTTGTTTCCTTTATGGGTGATGGGGAGTGACTAAGTACATTTCAACAGAGAATGAAAGAGGGTGAAACAAGTCTGTAAAGAGCTGGATTTTGTGCTTAGGTTTTGTTACTGACAGTAAAGGAGCGAGCGAGAGAGTTGTTTCATCCACTTTTCATGCTTCATTTTAAGTGTTTAAAACAACCCCTCATCACACACAACAGAAGTGCTGTCCTCAGATGTACAAACATTTACTCTCTCTTCCACTTGATCCATCTCCAACAAAAGCTGTTAATTTCAATGAAAGTGTTTAAGTGTGTCCCTCTGTGACTCTCATCCTTAACTGATGCACCCATCAAGATATTAAAACTGATGCTTGAATCCAATCTTTCACTTTAAAGCCGCTATAACCGCTCTTACTCTTGCTTTATGCAGCTCTTAACAGCATATTTTTTCGGGAACCTCAATTTCCTCTTTAATGTCAAGGACCAGGACTTAATTTATTTTGCTCTGCCTGAAAGCTTGCTGCGAAAGCCGCAGAAATCTTCAAGGTCTGTCCACAATGGAATTGATTTTAGCCGCTACCAGACAGCCGACCATTGTTGTCCAAATCCAACAGACAGATACCAAAAAAGAAAAAAAGACCTTCACTATGACCTCAGACTTCCTGCAAGAAGCTGCATCTTTCACGGTCAACACTTTCCTGACATACTGGTTATACATGAGTAGCACATAGCTTGGCCTGGTGCTGGTGACTCCTGGTGGGAGTGTGGAAATACACAACAGATCTCATACCAATGCATCTGCTAGTTTTTGAAAGATTACGACTGACGACTGTGAAAATAGTGTAAGATGCACAAAAGTTACCAGAAAACTTTCTCAGAGCAGAGGAGAGAACAAACTTAAAATCAACACCATAACAGTAGGATAAAAAAAAAAAAAACACACAAAAAATTAATGAATAATAAAAAATACAGCTGCTTTATTCCCTTAATTTTCTGTATTCCAGCACTGATTGCTTTAAAGACAAACTTTATTCCAATAGATACAGAAATGATTGTGAGTAAAGTCATGACATTGAGAAATAAATAGGCTTTGTGCTGCAGCTTTCATACAAATAGTCCCTGAACATGTAAATGAGCAGTTTTTTCCCCCTTCTGTGGAAATAATTACTTGTCTCAATGTGGTTATGAGTCCAGCTAAAAGTCTCTTCAAAGGACAGCAGCAAACATTTACCCGAAAATCAATAAAACTCTTGCTAGGATTCCTTAAAAAGAAAAGTGGCACAACCAAAATTTCAACCTTGACACTCTGTTGATAACCATTTAAGTGTCCACTAGTGTTTGAAACAATGCTTTAGCTGTTGACAGTAAAATCATAGGAGACCTGAATCCACTTTGAGGTAATTAAAGAGAGGAGGAAAAAAATGAATAAATTATTTTAAGTTGTAACAAATACTAAGTAAATCTACGTCACTCTGTTTTGAAGACTTGATTTACGGTTTAGCAGCAGCTGACAGGGCAAATAGATCTGCTATGGATCTTCATCAAGAGTGACGTTGTAAATTCAGAGATGGTGGGAGAGTCACAAACACACGGAAAAATGCATAACAATTGCAGCGACAGGGAACATAAAGCAAATTAAAACAAAACAAAAAAAGTACTACAAAAACAATCAGCTGACAGACATCATTAGGTGTTGGGTCTGAACGGGGGGGATCCGCTGGCGGAGCTGAGGCTCTGATGTCCATCTCCTCTACTCAAAACATTTGTTTAACAAACAGATTCTTGATCAGTCTTGTCATTACTTGAAGTGGCCATGTGGACACAAAGCATCTCTGTCAGTGTACTGCTTACTTGTTGTCTCTGGCATGTACCTGTCCAATGTTTTTTGTAAATGTACTGTGTGCATAGTCTGAGTTGACTGCCAAAACCAAAGTGCCCCTTTGGGATTAGTTAAGTTGTCTGAACTGAACTGAACTGAACTGACAACTAACTTGACAGGAAGCATGTTTTAGATAACTCTATGAACTCTATTTCTGTTTTGTGGTTTGGTGTGTATTTCATCTTTTAACATGGAGGGAGTGATCTTTATAACTTATGCTGTATCCAATCAGTAGAGGGAGCTCTCAGTATTTTGGTCTCACTTTTGGTCGGCTTTCAGGTCACTGATCTTCGTATACAAACTATGGCTCTATATAGGAGAGGCAGTTGTCTTGTGTAGTTGCATACCAGCATAGGCCTACTGTTTTTGTCCCCTCCTTTTTGCCCCCAGAAAACATGTTGCTCTAGGTTTCTGTCAGTGTTAATATGTCAACAATGTTGACATATTGCCTTCCCATCTGAACAGAGTTCTCTTGGACTATCATGAATTGAAATGGGCTTAGACTAAAATTGCTGCCAAAATAAACACTCAGTACGTTGGAGTTTTAAAATAGATGTAAATGCACTAAATCAAACTTCTTGTAGAAACCCCCCTCAGGACCCCCCCTCATCCCTGAGGACCCCCTCCACACATGCACTTATGTTACTTCATGAATTCCACAAGAATATCCAACATTCATAAATTGATAAAATACAGAGTCGTGTACCAAGGTTATGGGCCATTTCAGGTGTGAACAAAGCATTTATTTGGGACAGTACTGTTTATTCCACAGTTATAATTTACTACCCTCCCTGACATTTTAACTGAAGGGTATAGATTTATAACTGCTAAAACAAGAAGTAATTAACTTTGATCAGCTAGAAAGAAAATGCAACCGATTCTTGGAGGAGGACAAGGGGTTTACTTAGTCTCATCTTGTTTACAGCCGCGAGTGTGGTCCTGATGTCAATCTGCTCTCCTTCTAATATTTTGTCTGCAAACTAAAGAGAACTGATGAATACATAAACTAGCAAGATGCTAAAATCCATGTTTTACATTGAAGTTTTTCCTGTTAACATCAAAATTACAGTTCATTTATGATAGATATCACAAACATCCATGATCATGTAAAAAAAAAACAGGTTAACAGGTCACAAAAAAAAAAAAAAGGTTAATGACTTTGACGTTGTCCACATTGTTTCAATGGTGTATTGTACACTTACCAGGACACCACATGATGTTCTGTCTTACTAGTGTGCATGAGTCAGGGTGCTGCATGCTCACCTCGAGACATTGCAGCCTTTCTTGTGCATAGAGGATCTTAATAATAGAAATATTGTGAGTGAAAACTATTGCACCATCATCATTTAACAGCTCTCAGAACTGCTTTTTTTGTCTGACATTGTAGTGTAAGTACTGTGTATCAGAAAACATTGGTTTATGGAAAAAAATTACCTTGTTGACTCCAGCCATCTCTCCATGTTCCTGTCTGACTCACCCAATGGATCCAAAAAAAGGCATCTCCTCTCATGTGGGTAGATGACCTTTGTAATTTTAACATGGAAACAAGATAAGTAAGGCACAAAGGCACAAACCTACCACTGGACAGATTAATCTATAAGATTGGATGGGTACATGTATATTTTTTATACTTCAGAAATGGCCTTGAAATGCGTATAGTCCATAATTGCTCATACGCAAAGTGATGTAAAGGCATCAGACAATGATGACAGCATAATACCTTGCTCTCAAGCTCCCGGTTGGGACCAATCCTTTCAATGTCCCAAAAGTACAACTAGTACCTTCCAATCTTGGACAGAAGGACATGAGCCTTTCCCCCTGCAAATTACTCTTTAACATCTGCAGAAATTGAAGCATATCAAACTATGCAACGTGCTGTATTCATAAACCTTTTAATTACAACATAAAACCCCTTTTCAAAAACATAATAATTCAACCACAATTCTAAAAAATGTAATGATTTTCTTTCCCACTGAAAAATTTTATTTTAGTTCATCCTGTATCAATGCAACAAAGGAATTACAACCCTTCTGTTCAAATCTTTTTTAATTAAGCATAGTATGAAAAAAACATTTATAATTGTTTTAAAAGTTTTTTTGTATTTTGGAGTTGCTTCAAGAACTTCCCCAGAACATGCAGCTTGAGGCTCTGGTGCAGCTGGTGGTGCTGAGACTGGTGCAGCTGAAGGTGAGGAGGCTGGTGCAGGTGGCGGTGCAGTCATTGTGGGTTTTGCCAAACGAATGACAGAGGGCCGATGTGTCTAGGGTGCAGATCCAGCAGCAGGTGTCTAAGTTTGTGTAGATGGGACCACGGAAGAGTATATTTTATGCAGTATATGTGGCTCTTCATGCGTTACTTTGATGAGGTGGTCAACATTTACCTTTGGAAACACTGCACCATTTTCTCCTTTGAGATCAGCACTTTTCCCCTGCAGTGCTGTAATGATAATAAAAATAACAATAATAATAATAATAATAATAATACATTTTATTTAAAAGCGCCTTTCTAGACACTCAAGGACACTGTACAGGGCATTGAAAACACAGAAGCACAATTAAAATAAATTAAAACAACATAGAAGTATGAAGGCAGACAGAGAGAATATGCAATTTGAAACAGATGTGTTATGAGTTTTGATTTGAAGTGGGGTAGTAAGTCCATGTTTCTGAGATCCGGGAGGAGAGAGTTCCAGAGTTTGGGAGCAGAGCGACTGAAAGCCCTGCTCCCCATGGTGCTGAGCCGAGCAGAGGGCACAGAGAGGTGGAGGGAGGAGGAGGACCTGAGGGAGCATGGCGAGGAGTAAGGAGGACAGAAAATTCATTTAAAAAGTCACTTTGAGGTTTGGGAGGACGGTAAATTGTGGCGATGATTGTGGGGACAGATGCGGGTGGCTGACATGCCAGGCATTCCAGTGAGGAGAGAGGAGGCACAGAAACAGGCAGGACCTTCCACTTCTAGCGATAGAATATCACAAGACCTCCCCCAAGACCCGACTCACTAGGTTTGCAGATGTAAACAAACCCTGGCGGAGAGGAGTCATTTAACTGGGAGAAGTCACCAGGGACTTGCCACATCTCATTTAACCATAGAAAGTCAAAAGTCAAACTTACGGTCCATGAGGATATCTTGGATGAGATGTCCTTTACCGGAGAGGGATCTGATGTTAAGCAGACCGAAGCTGACGTCCGTGATGTTGTGTGGAGTGCTAGCCAACCGGCTAACACCCTGTGGTCCACAGACCGGCCGGTGTTTCTGTGTGGGTGGCGAGTGGAGGACCAGAAAGAGGTAATCCCCTTGGAGCCGCCAGAGTGGAAACCCTGCCGAGACCCACGATTGATGTACCTCAGACGAGGCTGGAGGGCGATGTCCTGGTGGAGGTGTAGAGCTGCCGGTGGAAATCCAGGCTTCTAGGAATGGAGCCTGAGGAGCTCTACCGCCAAATACCGGAGGAGTCCTTCCACGGGTAGATGGAGGAGCGACAGGGCAGTCCACACCAAGATAACCAGAGTAGCCAATACATAGACCCTACTGATCCACATAGTGAAGCGTGGCGGAGAGGATAAGACGCCAACCAAGAAAGTTTGCCTTCAGCTTTCCACCCTTCCTCTGCTGGTTCCTTATATTCTGTGTGTCATACTATAAAACTTGGCCTACTCTACATTCTAGCCCTGAAGGTTACAGGGGAAGTTGAAGAGTTGCTCTCTCTCTGTGGTTCCTCCAAGCCTTATGGTGGAGGCAGCTTCTTCACCACATCACTTTTAGGAACATGTGGCACATCATTTTCCTTTATAGCAAATGTGGGGCTCTCCCACACTTTGGTGTTTCCTTGGATTCTTTTCAGAAACTGTGCCTCAATTGTACCTCAACAATGCCAATGTAACAGACACTCCTGTGTTTGGTTGTGTGTGTGTATATGTATATATATATATATATATATATATATATATATATATATATATATAGTATTTTCAACCTCTCTTAGGAATTGAGACTAATCTTCAGCTAGCATCGTCACATGGTTTTATATGTTAGTAGTTTATCAACATGTAGGATACAAGTTTTTCTACTTGAATTAATTTGCTTTGGCACAACAGTGGATTAAGTTGACAGCAAGAAAATTTACTTTTACATGCAAAAAAGATATTTTTGCAAAAAAAAAAAAACATGCTAACCACAGCAAGATGAGGTCCTCTCCTTCATGGCGGATGGGAAATGGGAGAGGCTTGAAAAAATAATGGTCACATAAACACAAATGTGTTCCGTTTCATAGATACAAGGGGTGTCTCACATTACCCGATGTCTCACATTACCCCACTCTCCCCTATGATGTTTTATTTGTTGTTTGTTTTTTTTTTGTTCGGAGCCCAAACATTACAGCATCCAAATACTCATCCCATGATTCTGGCTTGTTGTCCACTAGTTTGCCGAGAGCCCTGAAAAAAATAAACAAATTTAAATTTGTCGAAAAAAACCCTCATTATAACTGGAGACCACATAGGTCATATTAAATGAATAGATTGACCCCTGACAATTTAGGACCTATATCTTACTCACCTTTGGATGGTCCCATTCATCCTCTCCACCAAACGGTTTGTTTGGGGATGATAGGGAGCACAAAGACTCACCACTTGGACCCCCAGTTTGGCACACATGCTCTTGTTAATCTGTAAATGTAGAGTACACAGAAGTCTTAAACAGTAAAACATTGTTTGGATTAAATATTTTGTTCAGAAGGTGCAGGATTTTAAAGTTTAAAGGTTAAATTGATTCTGTCAAATAGTTGTCAAGGTTTCCATATTTACCTCATTCACAAATTCTGTCCCTTGGTTGGTTAGTATCCTCTTTGGTGCCTCAAATAGATAGAACAATTTTATGATACACTCTGAAAACAAAAAATGCAGCAGAGGTAACAAAGGATAGGCCTGTGGCCATTTTGTAAAATAATCAATCATAACACAAATGTATTGATTGTCGTTTTTTTTATTGCTTTTGTCAATTTCCCGACCAGATCCATGCCTACAAGCTCAAAAGCATAAAAAAGAACATTAGATTAGGAGCAGCAACCCTGGGGACAATTGAATTAATTATTGGGTGTAAATAAAAAAAAAATGCCAACCTCAATGTTACTATGTTAACATGCTGTTGTGTAGCAGAAGTAGTTGACCTTTCTATTATATTTCAATTTACATGTTTTTAGAGCTTCCTCTGTGACCCTAAGACTCAGAGCAAAGCTGTGGAAGAAAATGTTGATCTAAAATATGTTTAACTTTATAGGGGTTTACTCCACCTCCTTTTTGATAATTTGCTGGCTGGCCTGGCAAATTGTACATTCAGACACCTGCAAAGACCTAATTTCACATGAAGAAGATTTCCATCAGCTGGCAACATTTTGGTTACTGAAATTTCATGTTCTGTGAAATAACAGAAGCACCAGTCCTCTAAACAGTGTAAAAAAACAAAGTTCTGGTAGGATTATATTAAAAGCAAATTAGCTTCCAGCGTCATTTAATTACCCATTTATCAATGTCTGCAGCCATTCCGGGCCAGAAAAATCGCCTGGAAATGGCATCCTGGGTCTTTCTTTGTCCAGTGTGGGCTCCTGTTGCACTGGCATGAAAATCTATTAAGATTTCATTGGCCTCTTTCTGTCCACACACGACTTTAGTTTTGGAGGATCTTGCTGCACCTCTGTAGAACAGTTCCTCTCCTAAGAAATAAATTGGAAAATGATTTGCAGAGACACCTATAACAAAGTAAAAGAAAAAAAATAGAGACACAGGCAAAGCAAATATTCCCGCATAAGGGATTATTGTGTGAGATTTCAAACCATTGTCCCTTCCCTATGGTGCTACTTACCCCTTATCAAGGTCACAAGTGGTGCTGGAGCCTATCCCAGCAAATATTGGGCGAGGCAGGAACACATTCTTGGCAGGTAACTAGTCCAATCGCAGGGCACACACACAATTGACTCACACATTCATACCTTAGAGCCTGTTTTTAATTAGACTCTTTAACTTAAATAATATGCAGGTTTTGGAAGTGGATTTAAAATACAATGACAGGGAATCTAAGTAAACAATTAAAATGTCTTTGTTAATGATTAATGACATAATTATGATTGTTATAACGGGGAAAGTTCTGTATCTGTGAATGTATTACTTGTTTTCATATTTTTTTCACGTTCCCAGAGGAATTGATAATCCCGAGGGGTTTTGGATGATATTGTTGCAATAATATTGTTATTAATATCGTAAAAATGTAAAATAAATTACAATTGGTTGATTCAAGTTTACTCTAAAGCAGTGGTTCTCAAGTCCAGTCCTCGAAGCCCCCCTGTCCTGCATGTTTTGGATGTTTCCCTGCTCCAACACACCTTATTCAAATGATTAGCTCGTTATTAAGCCATTAGACTCTAATGGCTTAATAACGAGCTAATCATTTGAATGAGGTGTGTTGGAGCAGGGAAACATCCAAAAGGTTAAATTAATTGTGAGAATATAATATGCCTTCCCATTAAGGTCTTTGACAAATAATAAAAAAAAAACTGTCATTTTGGTATTGAAGTTGTCATTTTATTTTAATTGTGTTATATAGAAATGACAATGCACTTATTCTGACATCCATAACTGGTATAACTTGTGTATCAACATTCAAACAAACACAACACATAAAAACAATCACACTATTTCAATGAAGAGATACTGTGCTTTCTAAGAATGAAACCAAAAGGAAGAAGATATAGAGTGAACAGCAAGGGCCCTAGGATTGAGCCCTGTGGAACCCCATAAGGTAGAGGAGCAGGGCGGGACTCACAACCAGCAAGGCTTAAACACATAGTTCTGTCTGCCAGATAGGACCTAAACCACTCCAGAACACTACCACTAATGCCCACAAGGCACTGAGTTACTAAAATATTGTGGTCCACTGTATCAAATGCTGCAGTTAAGTCCAGTAGAACAAGAATCACATAGTCCCCAGAATCATTTGCCAGGAGGATGTCATTTACAACCCTTTTTAAAGCAGCCCCACCATAAATGCATTTCTGTTGGCCCCTGCATCACATGATTTTTACAGTATACAGAGGGATTAGTATGCATAACCAGGGTAAGTGTACATTCAAATTTGACACATCTGAAAACCGAATTGTCATTGGTCGATATCTGATTCATTTATTTATTTATTCATCCATCCACTCATTAGCTTCTTAAAGTGGAGGAAAATGATCTTATATTTGAAAAAAAACAAAAAAACAAGTAATGGACCATGACAACATGTCAAATGGACCAGCAAATATTCTTTTTGTTTTTATGTCGCTCAAAAATGCACACATATAAGTTTACTTGGGTATATAAACTGTACAGTAATCGGTCAAGGTAGAGAACGTTATATTTTCAGGACAGCAAATCAGAGGGCTATTGTTTTTGGTCAATCTGAATAGCCTCAATGAAATCATTCAGGATTGCTTTTGGATCTATCTAGTGGTCTGGAAAACTTAATTCAGATGCACACATATCTGTTCCACTCCCAGCAGTACCTACACCAAAAAAGTAACAAAATGAAGTAGTTGTCCACTTCATATTGTGGCAACGAGAGCTAGTTGCTGTACTTTTCGAACCCAGTGACATAGGCGTGCTCCTGTCAGGGGATGCTGTCAGGGGGTCCACTGTATGGCACAACACCGGCCGACCAGAAACAGTGCTTAAAAGTTTTTGTTTGTTTGTTTTTTTTACACGCGAATGGTTGAGACACTGATTGCGAAGTTGTAAACGGGATTTAAACAGGATGTACACCTTATACCGATGTTTACAATTGATTACTGCTGTGTGTATGTGTATGAGGTTTAGCCTCTCTCCTCGACGGTGAATGACTGATGTTTATCACAAAGGTGTGAATACATTGGCCTGGCGGAGAAGAATAAGCTAACTGTTGATTTGAGGCTGTGTGTGTGTGTGTGTGTGTGTGTGTGTGTGTGTGTACTTTCCTACCTATCCAAGAGTGGAACTTGGCATCATAACACTTCCACCAAAAGGGGACTGCATAACCAGCAGGGGACATCTTTAGGTTTCCCTCTCATTCATGCTTTAAATCATGCTAAAATCATGTGTAACACACTCTGGTGAAATTTTTTATTTTTTTTATTTTAGCCAAGTGGGGACCTGAGGGTGTGTGAGAATTTAAGTCCATGCGAGGCTACCCCCTGAAGGCTGGGGCCGGAATTACAATGACCCTTAAAGCTGTGGTCTACCATTTGGAAGCTTAGTACTTATTAATAACACCGTTTATAAGGCTGTTATGGTCCTATGGGCCGATCAACACAATATAAAGATCAAAAATAACAAAAAAAAATCCGTTCAGTACATCCACTGCAAAAAGGCATAATAATCGACCAGTCCCCTGTCTCCCCTGCTCCACACCGTCCCGCCCATGGTCCCGCCTCCTCCCCACTACCCCCCTGAGGTAAGGAAGAAATAGGAACGATACAGGTGCCAACGGAGAGTCTACATTGGAGAAACCTACGACCAGTGTTATGCCGTAGAATGCACCCCTGCCGTAAAATGCACCCCTTCATCCCATCCCCTCCCCTTATTAACTTCTTTAAGTGGAGGAAAATGATCTCATATTTAAAAAAAGAAAACATGAATATTGGATCATGACAGCATGTCAAATGGAGCAGCAAACCGTTCTGTTTTTATGTGGCTCAAAAATGCACATATAGAGGTGTACTTGGGTATATAATGTACAGTAAACAGTCAAGTTAGAGAACATTATATTTTCACTACAGTATCTGTAGTATCTTTCACTTACAGTATCACAAAGTTAAAAACAAAGAACTACTATATAATGGTGAATATATGAGTGGTTCAAAGTATAGTAAAACTGTTACGAGGAAAGGGAATCTTGAAAGTTAAAATTTAGAAAGCAGTTGTGGCACAAAATACGGCAAAAAAACGTGTGTTTACTCCTGCATTTGTTCCCGTGTGGACAGGTTGATACCGCCTTCAGACAGACTTTGCAGCGCTGAGGAGTGGTTTGCTCTTCTTTCGAAACTGCGAAGCCATACCAATTCCACACAACTGACTTGCTCTTGCCCTATTTAGCCAAGAAATTATCGCCTTCTTTTGCAGGAGGGGGGAGGCTATGGTGGCCCGGAGGCATGATACATGATAGTGAGGATGCTCGATTTGACGATTTAAATTTTTTTAACAATGTCCTAATCAAATAATCCTGTAAGGATTTAAAATCAGTGAATCGTGCAGCTCTATCAAAAGGGTAGATCGTTTCACTTAGTTTGTTCTGACTGACCTACGTAGGTCACAGTGGCCGGGTTTTTGGTGTTCTTGGCAAGCAGCTCCTGGACTGGGACACAGCTCTCGACGAGAAAGGATGAAAAAATAGACAAAGCTTTCACAATGTACATCAAAAGGTGCAGAAGTGTAAAAGTAACAGCACTCAGTGTAATTTTGGTATGTAATAGGTCAACTGGCAGGCGACTGAGTAGGGACGAGCTAAAAGGGCTCATGTTGCCAAATACTGAAGCGGATGCCTGTGTCAATTATGATATTTTTTCCCAGTGCTTATAAACTAGGGCAAGGACACAAGTCCATGTAAATCACCTGGCTGAGCTATAACTATAACTCAACTTTACTGTGTGTGTTAATGTACTGACTGATTACAGCCATGGCTTCACAATGGAAGTGAAGATGCAACATCCACTTCTCATTAACAGTCCCTCAATTTAACATAAACTACCCACTTAATTCAACATCAATAATTACACTAACATTTAATGTGCAATAACTGTAATGTCCCTGGTTTGTATATCCTGCCTCAAGTATAAATGACTTCACCTGCAGCAGCCTCCATAATCAGCTCTGGCATTCATTCTCTCTGCATACCCTGATACTCCTCTCTGATCCTTGCTGCTCCACCTCTACAGTCTCCTGCATTTGCATTTAGATTTGTATGATTTCTGGGATGTTTCTCTCTAAGGGTTTCGCATCCATTCAAATGACTTTTGTATCCAAGGCCGTGCTGGAGGCTCTGTGAGCTCAGAGACAGTTTGTGTCAGGCCTTTTCTAATATGTGTCAGGATCATTTCAGGGCAAAGTGTTGCCAACAAACCCAACATGACTGCTGCAATAAACGCTTCAAACCTCGGAAAGAGTGTTTTGACTGAAATTTATTCAAGTAAAGGTCTCATTCTGGCTTCATGTCAAATGCTGCTGTTATAAGACATCTAAGACCTCGAAATGTCTGCGAAAAGGACAGTGGAGCCCTTTAGGCATCATGTCCAATCAATAGTCTTTTCAGCTATTTGGTATGTGACATTAACAGATCGGAGGAGCCATAAAATAAAAAAAGAGCTTGAGTGTTCATCTGTGCTGTTATCCACTCTCTGCTCTTTAAAGTGATGCTCTGTATTACCTTCAAT